ATTCCCTGTATAAAGCCTACTGACTAGGGCACACTGACTTCCCAGTGCCAACTGGCCATCAACTGCATTCATTCCCAAACCTGCTCATGCCCCTGTAATAGTGAATTATAAACTGATGACACAGTAGAAAAGAAAGAACTGTTGTCTCTATGAACACCAAATAAGTGTCTTAGAAAAATATAGTAAAGATAAGTTGCCTTTCAAAACTGTCAGGAAATAAGCTACTGACAAAAACAATGATAAAAGATCGAAGGAATATTTTGTTAAAATCTAGAATTTTGTACTCATCAACTGATTTGATAACTGCCTAAAGTTTTTATCTCATTTAAAAAAATTAAAACTGCAAAATTTACATGACTCATGTCAAAAAAGATGAACACTTCTAATTGACAAATATAAGCTCAAAGAAAAGGACTCTGATGCTGGACTGCATCAAAAGATTAAGGAGAGGGGCCGGCGCCGTGGTTCACTTGGTTAATCCTCTGCCTGTGGCACCGGCATCCCATATGGGCACCAGGTACTAGTCCCGGTTGCTCCTCTTCCAGTCCAGCTCTCTGCTGTGGCCCGGGAGGGCAGTGGAGGATGGCCCAGGTGCTTGGGCCCCTGCATCATCATGGGAGACCAGGATAAGCACCTGGCTCCTGGCTTCAGATCGTAGCAGCCATTTGGGGAGTGAACCAAAGGAAGGAAGACCTTTCTCTCTGTCTCTCTCTCTCTCACTGTCTATAACTCTAACTCAACCTTTCGTACGGAGGGAAGAAAGAAAAAAGGGGGAAAAAAAAAAAAAAAGGTCAAGGAGAAGGGACAGCACTGTAGTACAATGAGTTAAACATCCCATTTGGGTACTGATTTGAGTCCCGGCTGCTCCACTTCCAACCTAGCTCCCTGCTAAAGTGCCTGGGAAAGCAGTGGAAGACAGCACAAGTTCTTGGGCCCCTGCACCCATGTGGGAGATTCAGATGGAGTTCCTGGCTCCTGGCTTTGGCTTAGACCAGCCCAGGCTATTGTAGCCATTTGAGAAGTGAACCAGTGGATAAAAGGTTTCTCTCTCTCTCTCTCTGTAACTGCCTTTCAAGTAAATAAACCTTTAAAAAAAAAGATTGAAGGAAAATGAAAATATGTATATTTTAAATTAAAATAAAATATTGAAGATATGCATATATGTATACTTTTTCAGTTACCCACTTTAAACAATTTTTCAATTAGCTATTTTTACCCAACAAGCATTGTGTAAGACAGCATCAATTGTAATTGATAGCATTCTTTTTCAAATTAAAAAGGTCAAAGGAAAAAGAATCATTCATGCAAACCAAAATTACTATACCTTTTCCTTTTGAATCCATGAAGAAAAGATCAAGAAAGAAAGAATAGCACGAAATCAGTTCAAGAGTTCAGAGAAAAGGCAGATAAAATTCCAAGAGTTTAGCTGACAAGCTTTAGTTATGTATGGAAATGATATTAAATTTATTTAACTGATATCCCTAGTATCTTTTATTATATTCAGGTACTGGTTATAGGAAACAATAAAATATATATTACTCAAATTACACCACAGCAAGTAAATCCATATTTAAGTGAGATAGAAACAAAAACAATATCCACAAGATGATCTACTATACTATACTAACAACCAGAAATATGAAAAACTAAGGATCGTAGGATAGAGAAACATCTTGATTAAGATTTGAACTTTAAAGATCCTGTATAAATCAAGATACACAAAAAATGCATTTAACTAATTTCATAAGAATAGGCAATATATTATATTTTAGAAGCTTATATTGATTATTATTTTAATGAACCGGGCCTCTCTTTCAGAGAGAATCCAATGGTACTTAAACAAGTATAGTTTCTCCTGTTAACACTGTCTCCTATGAGCAACACAGAAATTTAAAAGAAACCAGATCTAACCCAGACCTCTAATCTAGACACTTCACAGTGTTATTATTCTGCCATTTGTTTCTGGGCTTTCAAGCATCTTTTAATCCATTTGTTAAAATGCATCGTCTAAACATCTGCTTCCCACAAACAATGAGTAAAATTTACTAACTGCTCCATTAAAACCCAAAGCACAACCAGAATATTATGAATCTTTCTCAAAATGTTCACTTTGGCATACTTTGCTTTCCATGAGTCTGTAATTCGAGATTATTATTTCATCATACCCATAAGCAAGCTGCTGAGGCCTAAAAAAATCAGGAAGCAAGTCCAAGGAAATTAAGGAGGCAGCATCAAAAGATAATGTAGTCTTCTGTTAGTTTGTAAAGTGTTCATTTAAATTTGTTTGCAGTAAACTTACATGGGTTTGATTATAAGTAGGTACATGTTCTTATAATCTATTGATAAGGAAGGGGAGTTAAAGAAAGAGTTGAAAAAAATAAGCACTGGTAGTAAATGAGAACAACCAATCAACATGAACTCTGCCAGGACAGGAACACACACATCGTGTCCTGCCTCAGTTCACCTTGGGTCTTCTATTCCTTTCTTCATTTCCTGGAATTTGCTTCCTTTTCTGTAGGATAGGATTGCTCAGAATCATGGAAATGCACTGATTTAGGACCTAGTATTCCTTGATTCCGTTCAAATAACTTAATCTCTCTGGTCCTAAGTCACCTCATATATCAAATCAGGGGACTAAACTAAAAAAAACTTTTTAAGATCCTTTCCCAAAACTCTATCAATGTAATACCAATCAATTATGCCCATGCAGGAAAACAAGCATTCTTAACACCTGATAAGCAGCAGGCTCATCAAACTTTCCTAAAGGGCACTCAGACAATGCACATCAAAAGTCATTAATGTTCCTGTCCTGACCCAAGCAACTTCACCTTTAGGAATCTGTCTGAAGAAAACAATCATGTGCCCCAAAATGCACTAACAAAGATATTCACTCATCATATTACTGTTTCTTTAGAAAAAAAAAAAAAAACTAAATATCTTACAGCAGGAAATGGTAAAGTAAATTATGGCAAATCCATTTAAAATAATACTATGTAGCCATTAAAAACAAATAATGGGTACCAGTGGTGCAGCAGCTTAAGCCACCACCTGCAATGTTAGCATCCCAGATTGGAGCACTGTTTTCAGTCCTGGTTGCTCTGCTTCCAGTCCAGCTCCCTACTAACATGCCTGGGAGAACAGCTCAAGATGGCCTACACACGAGAGACCTGAATGGCGTACCAGGCTCCTGGCTTTGCCTTGGCCCAGGCTGTGTGGCCATTTAGGGAGTGAGTCAGTGAATGGAAGATCTCTTTCTCTATTTCTCCCTCTCTCTATGGTGCTCTGCCTTTCAAATAAATACAATAAATCTTTTTTTTGAAAAAGAACACTTTTTTTGTTTACAAAATGATGTTATAGGCAAACATAAGTAATTACATGGAATGATTATTATAATGAAAAATAGGCTATAAATTAACATGATCTCATGTGGGGATATATGCAGGTACAGAAAAAAGACTAAAAGGCTACACAGAATTGTTAGGGATTATACTTGGATGGAAGACAGAAATTGGTATTTGATATCTCTGACTTTTTTCTCATCTACATTTTCTAAATTTTCTACTATGAATACACACCAATTATATGGTCAGAAAAAAAAAACATTATTTAAAGTCTCAATTCTAAGTTCCTTGAGGAATATTATATCTTTGTTACCATTCTTCTGGTCCCCAAACAAGAAATCTCTATTATTTAAATCCATCACCTTTGAAAAGATCAGGTGTTACAAACAAATCATAAATAAATCTTTTAGCATAACAGAAAATTTATAAACAGGAAGTAAAATAATTAAAAAATGGGAAATAACTATATATACCACTCACATGGTAACTAAAGATGCAAGGCTCCAAACAGCCTGCACTGGGGTTCTGTTATGAAAAACTTCTCAAGTAATCTTTCTAAAATATTCTCTACACTATTGTCAGGAACTGCATTTAAAAGAGATGAAGTGTTAAGATCCAGAATATAACACAGAAACTGGTGGAAAATCATTTTCTACAAATTTTTAATGAAGAAACAACACAAAACACTCTGCTCACATACTTCAGTATGTGAAGGATTGGCCGGCGCCATGGCTCACTTGGCTAATCCTCCACCTGTGGCGCCGGCATCCAGGGTTCTAGTCCTGGATGGGGCGCTGGATTCTGTCCTGGTTGTTCCTCTTCCAGTACAGCTCTCTGCTGTGGCCCGGGAAGGCAGTGGAGGATGGCCCAAGTGCTTGGGCCCTGCACCTGCATGGGAGACCAGGAGGAAGCACCTGGCTCCTGGCTTCGGATTGGTGCCGTTTTGGGGGGTGAACCAATGGAAAAGGAAGACCTTTCTCTCTCTCTCTCTCTCTCTCTCTCTCACTGTCTAACTCTGCCTGTCAAAAATAAAAATAAAAAAAAAGGAAGGATTAACAAAACTAGTTAGTCTCAGGCAGGAAAAAAATGAAAAAAAAAAATACTTTCTACCATACAAATAAAAACTACTTAAATTCTCTTCTTTGCCAAGAAAATAATGGGATTGGGGGCTAAAACACTTTCAGTGCAGAAGGGTTTACAATAGAAATGAAAAGTAGCTTACTGTCAGTGAGAGGTCCTGAAAACTACAGCACCTGCCCAGGGAACCCCTTTCCCTGCAGCTATTCTAGAAAACCACCCATGACTGGGAGGTGACTGAGAAGGCTCAATCACCACGGCCATTGCCGCCGCCACCACCACCACCAAGGAAGCGGACAAGATGACAACCCAAGGTTCTTTTCAACTTTATTCTTTTTACATCTAGGGCCACAGAGAGTTAATACATATGATGGCTACTAATTCATAAAGATGAAAATAAAACTTGCGGTGAGCAGCAAAAAGAAACTGTGAGTCCAGTAACTTTTAGCTATAAATATTCTGACGGCTACTTTTCAAGTTTTTCTAGTTTAAGATAACAAAGCTCACAATGTAAAGTGTGATTAAAGGACATTCTAAAACTTACTTACTACCTAAAAACAAGAAAGTAATTAGAAAATTTACCAAATATTAAAGCCAATCCATGAGATGTTCCCACCGCTATGAGACTGGACACTGCCTGAAAACAAAAGGAAGATGATATTTTCAGACATTACATCGAGGATCTTGAAATAATCAGAGCTGAATCTGTTGGCCTTCCTTCCTCTCTGCACCAGATGACATACCAACTATTATAAATATGGAGAATTTCATCTAGGAAGCAAAACGGGAAATGAAACTCAGGACATTGTATTTCTGAGAATCCCTCAAATTTACTGGAAGGGAAATACTATCAAAATATCATATGTTCAACATTATAGGCCAAAACATGCCACTCAGCTTCCTCTAAAACAACTCAAAGAAAAAAAAAAAAGGTCCGGACAAAGTAAAAGGCACTCATTGTACCCAGCAAGAGCCTCTAACAAGAGGTGGGGAAGGGAAGAGAATGCTCTTCTCCAGTTTATCCGCAGGAGCCAACAGGCACCAGAAATGCTCAAAACTCAGCCCATTTCCTCACCAAATGACTGACTAATAAGAAAGCTACAGGAGGCAGCTGGAGGCAGAACAGAAAAGCAAGCATTAGTGTGCTTTCAATATCCCCCGTTCTCTACAGTCACACCACAGATTTACTACTTGGCAGGCTTGGCAATGGACCCCAGAACTGTTCTATATACAATTTACCACAAAGTGATTTTACTGAATGCTGTTTCCCATCCCCTGTAACAGAAGGGAGGCCAAATCACAGAAGGAGCAAATTTACTTGGGCAGGATGGTTCCACATACAAATAAACCCAGAAAAGGCTAATCATTATTCCATCATCTTTTTCTCAAACAAAAGCCTAAAGAGAAACAATTTAAGAAGAAAACACTCAACATGGACAAATTTCAAGCTCGATTACTGGCAGTAAAATTACTTATGAATTTATTAACATAATTTATATAATAACTTTGAACATCATAAAAATAAATCTAAGAAAACCCAATCAAATAAAACGCTTACCTCTAAGAGGTTAAAATATACTTACAATTGCTGTAGGCAAGCCAGCATCTACTTTGTCCTAAGTGAAATTTAAGGGAAAAAAAAAGTATTGGAAAAGATCCTCTCATTTTAAAATAAAGTGGAATAAGACTCTCTTTACACATACTTTGATCCACATCAACTCAGAAAAGAGGTGGAACCTTCATTTTTGCCCCCAACTAAGAGAAATTATAAAAGTTGTACATATCAACAAAATACAAGGAGCATGAAAATGGATCATTTAATTTTCCTAACTGTAACAGATGCTTCAGGAAGGGTACTGATTATAAATGGAAATGTAAAAGAAAACAAGAAAAGAAAGAGGTTCCACTCTCTACCATGTGACTAAACCATATGAACTATATAGGTGGCCAAAATGGTAGGCACACATAAAGATCTGAGGAAAAGGAGCATGTGTTAAAGACATTCCAGTGCTAGTTAGGAGCTTCTTCCATGGCAGGTTATCCAATAACCCTGAGATAAAACTCCAGCAGGGCACATTAAGGCAATGTAAGAGTATTTATTTAACGCTTAAATAGCCTTAAATAGTAACAACAGCCTGCAGTGATACAGCATGCTAGCAACAAAGAGCTTTCACATACATTGCAGAGTATTCATAAAAAATGTCACAGAAAATAGAATTAAAAGACAAATTTACTTCAGTGCAAAATATTTTGAGATCCAAACATAGCTGCTTCATAATACTCATTTCTATGAACTTTCTGAAGTCCCCTTCCTTACACGCATGTCCGAGTTAAAAAGAAAGAGGAAGAGACAGAGATCTTCCACTGGTTCACTCCACAGATGGCCACAACAGCCAGGGGTGGGCCAAGCCAAAACCAGAAGCCAGGAGCTTCTTCCAGGTCTCCCACATGGGTAGCAGGGGCCCAAGCACTTGGGTCATCTTTTGCTGCTTTTCCCAGGCCATTAACAGGCAGCTGGATCTAAAGTAGTGCAGGTGGGACACAAACCAGTGCCCATATGGGATAACAGTGTTGCAGGCGGCAGCCTTACTCACTAAACCACAACACCAGCTCACTTATCTTTTAATTCTACTTTTCCATGAACTTTTTGAAGTACCCTCATATATTACACTATTTGATTCTCAAACATGGAGAGATAAGAAAGGCAGCATTTGATTTTCCAGATCAATAAAACAAAAATTTTGAAGACCTTAACCAACTTGCCCAAGGTTACTCAGCAATGTCTCAAACTTTGAACTTTCAGCTCGCAGGCCTGTTATATCACTCCTATACATCTTCTTCCCTATGTCCCTGTCAATGTGGTCTGTTATTATAATCACTAAGTAGGCAGGATCTATTTATCCAATTTTACAGAGATTCCCAGGAAATAACTTAAACTTACACTGCAGTGCACAGAAAATGTGAAAGAACAATTACCAAGGCAGCCATTATATCCAATGTTCTGGATAGAAGCATATACTCAACTTGGTGTGTGTGTGTGTGTGTGTGTGTGCATGCACCCGCATGCAAAGCATACCCAATATAGTGCTTGGCAATTAAGCGGCATGCAATAAATATTTGATAATGATTGATTTGTGTCCTGGACAGGGAAAAAGAGGAATGAGACAGCAGATGAAGAACATAAACTATACTCAAAATGAACCAGAATAATGAAATCAGGAGTCACCTGACTTCAAAAGCTAAAAAACCACAGATGTGGGAAGTATTTTAGAGATTACAGAATTTTAGTACTGGTGTTGCAGAATCTTAGGGTAGTGCTTCTCAAAACCCAGACTGCATTACAGAGACCAGGATGCCTGTTAAAATGCAAATCCCTACCCTACACTACTACAGATTCCAATTCAGTAGGTCTGCAGTCATTCCCAAGAATCTGTATTTTAACCAACACCCCAGGGGATTCTCATGCATTGGACACGTTTTGGAAAAAAAAACAAAAAAAAAACATTGCGCTAAGGTACCTCTAGTATCTTAAGGTTGGTCATAAAAATAAAAAAGATGCTTAAGAAGTTCATTCAAATTAATTTAAAATATAGCCACATGTCACATTACTTTGAAAAGGATCCTAAAATTAAACAATGTGGTTCACAACTCTAAAAATTTCATCTCTCCTAAATGTTTTCCAGGCATGGCCTCCAAGCTGTGTTGATCAAGGTTCTAAGCATCCCCAATAACACAGCTAGTCACATGGCTGAAGGCACTATTGAACAACTGTTCGGGAGAAATACCCAAAAATGTAACTAGCTTTACATGTTAATAAACCAACCATCACAGAGAAGCATGCAACTTAAATTGAGCTGGTAATCCAAAATTAGGAAGGCACCATATGATGACTGTCACAGGAAAAGCAGTTTTCATTTTAACATACCAAAGGAGCTCAGCCATAGCAATGAAATAAGAACAGAATGCAACACTCTGGGATTTATTAGAATTTTCCCCTCCTCTGCATGAGGGAGGAGAAACCCTTTTAAATAACAGATTTATCTAATCATTGTTCAGTGTCTGAGTTTTAGTTCAGTCTCCATTATTCAAAATATTTTTAAAACTACACAGGTGGGTCAAATGACTGTTCTGGTTCATCTTGATTTTGAAAGGAATGAATTTCATCACCTACATAAGGATTAAATTCAGAAAACGTCATGGAAATATAATCCTCAACAGGTGGTTCCCATTCTAACAAATATGAGTTACTCTCCACCTAAAAGAGGAAGGACAATTGCCCGGGTTTCCTCCATTGCTTGACCATCTTTCTATTTAAATTGACTTCATGATATATGAGCTGGGTCAGGATACACCAGTTGTCCACAGTGACTTTTTCCTTTGGTATCTGCAACAACAGCTTTCTTGGATAAGCTTGAAAGCTGCAATGCAATTGTGGTGTCATAATGCCACTGCTATATCAATCACTGGCCCTTCTGGAAAAGCAAAACCTTTCTTTCTTGTACAAAAAATACAAATTAAACTCCATGAAAAAAAACAAAACACACCAGATTTCTGAGGTATGAACCTGTCATTATGACTACTGTTCTTATTACACACAAGATCTATACATTGAACTCAAAAAACTAGAATTAAAAGACTACATAAAACTAGGAGCCTTGAGATCAAGGGAAAAGTCTGATCGGTGTCCGTTCTCTTCAAGGACTATTAAATTTTTTTTACATTAACCCAGTGCTCATAATCATTTTCAAAAAAGGCCACAGATACTTCATTCCAGCCATTATGTACTAGCCACGCTCACCAATACCACCTTCATTTCACAACAAAGAGGCTGTAGAGCTGGGAGCCAGAAACCCCGATTTTGAGTAATTGCTCTGCTACCTCCTTAACAGAATGATCTAAGACAAGTTAAGATCACCTCTCTGAGCCTATCTTCTCCTCTGTAAAATAAGATATGGCTTTACCTACTGCAAAGCTGTAAGAATGAATGAAAAAAGGGACATGAAAAATACTTTAATAAATTACAGAAAAATCACTCCATTGTAAGAGATTCTGATCAATCATTTCTCATATAAAAAGGCTAAAATAACAAGCACTCTACCCCAACCAAATACACAAGATGGCAACTGAACTGAAAAGGAACTTAAAGAAAAGGCAGATAGTGTTTCTTTTAGGCTTGCTGCCATATTTCATTTAGGCACACCCGAGACTCTGAGCAGACCTTTATATTCATGGCTGCACTAATTTCTATGTCAAGATGTGTAGCCCTGTCTTATGAGTCAAAAATAATCACACAAAACCCATGAAAGCCAGATTCTATTTTTCTTAAGCCTCGGGCCAAGGGAAGAGCTGTGCTTTGTTTTATGCTCATTCCTACTTCATTATGCCATTGCAGGTTATAAAGCTGGGGGGAAGAATAAAATACTTACAGCTGCAGACACTATCTGGGCAGAAATTCCCTTCAAAAGGGAATGTCGCATAACAGATCCATGGAGTGAAAAAGAATCAGGTAATTTTTTCTTCCTAAAAAAAGGAAAATGTTTAAAAACAGATTTAAAAAATGAAAAGGCAGGTTCCAATTCTTTGAAAGAAGAAAACACATAAATATAAGAAAAGCAGAAAAAGACACTATATGTAATTAGTTGGCTGTATTTTAAAATGGGTATAAAGAATCTAAGACTCCCACACTAACATGCTGCACTAAACCCAACTTAAACCTCATAGAAGCACAAGTGGGAAAAATGAGTAAAATCACCACTCCTTTTTCACTGATGCACACTATTCCTTGCCTAACTTAAGTAATACAGCTATAGGTTCTACTGTTCTCTAGAAGGTTGCCTACAGAACACTCCTCCTCCCTACATGTTTGCATTACCTCCACCTGCCTTCCTACTCCTGTCCACTTGCTGTCTATGACCTCCCTCATTTCTCAACTATCTTCTCAAGTCTCCTACTCACTACTCCCTCTGTTGCTCCTACCAATGCTTCCTTTCACTTACTTATCATCATACAAAAAATAATTTTTAAACTTTACCACGCATTATTAAGCATCTACTTCACAGACTATAAAAATGCTCTGTGGATACAAAAATAAGTAAGTCATAATTCCCATTGTCAAGGATCTCAGAGCCCGGCTAGAAGGACTTATAAGTAACTGTTAAAGGACAGTTGAAAGACTAAAAATACAAATCAAGTACTATATATATGCAAAAGCAGAAGTGTTCAATCTTGTTTATTTGGGGGATGTCAGGAGGAGCTATAGAAAAGAGAAGATTCCACATTAGGCCTTGATGGATGATTGCAAGTCTGTCAGGCAAAAAGTACAAGCAGAGCCTGAAGATGTAAAGGTGCACAGCATGTCTGCAGAACAGTGAGCACACTAAAGGCATGGACTGGGGGACCGAGAGATTAGGTCAAAGTGGTAAGCAGGCTCCAGACTGATGCCACACAAACAAATTCTGACTTCATCACATAGGCTGCAAGACAACTTTTAGGCCAGTGGTGACCAAATCATCAAAAACATTTAAGTTATCTATTTGTAAGACACAGGATTGAGTAACTTAACACAACTAGCAATGGCTCCTGTCACACAAGAGATGACAACCTAAAGAAGACAGCACTGATACAGGCAAAATTTAAGAGGAACAATACACAGATAACTTTATCAATGTTAAAGTTACACATGAATTCAATAAAGTGCTTATATTATGGATCCTCCATTTCTCTTTCCTTTTCATGTTCTCTCCAAGAATTTGGAAGGCGAAAAGCAGCCAAAAGTGAAGTTATTTAGGGTTAGAAGTCTTTTTCCCAAATCTTTAATCATCTTTGTGATTCTCCTCTGAAGCCACTCCAAGCGAATAAAGGAATGCAGGAGCTGACCTTGGGCAGGGAGCGCAGGGAACAAAAGGGTGCTGAGGTAAATCGAGCTCCATGTTTGCACCACACACACTATGCCAGGTTTGCTTTCTGCTCCCTCAAGGCTATACTGTTTCTGGGAGTCCCTGACTATTCTGACAGATTCTTATTAGTGGTTCAGAAGACTGCATTCATGGCATCTATCTTTTCATCTTCTCCCTCAACAGTGTCAAAATCTTTAGGATCTATTAAGCACATTATTTCTATACAAGTAGACTTTCTACTTCGCAAGCAAACTTCAACAGATCATGTTGTACTACAGAGATATTCACATTTTAAATATCAAATATCACAACCAAACACAACTGTGATTTACATGAATACTTTCATTTATTTATTTTATGTATTTATTTGGAAGACAGAAAAAATCAGTATCTTCCATATGTTGGTTCACTCCCCAAATGCCTCAAACAGTTAGGGCTGAGCTAGGCTGAAATCTGGAATCCAGAACTCAATCCAAGTCTTTCACGTGGGTATCAGGTATCCAAGTACTTAAGCCATTACTTGTTGCCTCCCAGAGTATGCATAACCAGAAAGCTGGAATTGGGAAAAGAGGTGGACACAAACCCAAGCACTCTGATATGGATACAGGAGTCCCAAGCAGCGTCATAACAGCTGCCCTGAAAGTCCACCCCAAAAATACTTACCTTTTTAAGTTGGTCCTGTCACCACTATCTGAGCTTGCCACAGATGAAGTATCATAGGAGTGAGAATCAATAGCATCGATGTTTAACAATGTAGGATCCTCAAGAACAAAAGAATCATCTTCATCATCAGTCTAAATTGGAAGAAGACAGATCAACAAATTCTAAATACTCTATGAGACATGTCAGCTAGGCATTAATAGGTTTCTCCAAAGAACTCAAGTGCTTATTTCTGCTTCTCACCTCTATCCTGCACTTTCTTGCTGACCAGAGATGCAAAGTACAGAATTAAATTTCAACTCTAGACAGGTATTCCTCTCTTCAAAGATTTCCCTCCCCAAATTTCCCACTTGTTTCAAGAAGAAATAAGAGCAGTTATACAGATTATTGTTGGTTACAGAACATTTCTTAAAATTCAAACCTGTATATATGCTTTACTAGGTAGCTAACAACTGGCTTATCAGAAGTAAACAAGTATCACCTGCTTCTACAAATAGTTTGTGAGAAACAAGACAAGGAAGCACATGAAAGGCATTCTGGGTAGGAAATAATATGTGTGAACACAGTGATTTCATACTATGGACTGTACGCAGAGAAAAGTTGTCTAGAATGACTGAAGCATATGAGTAGAAGCTGGAGATAACCCTGGAAAGGTAAGCTGAGATCCAAATTGTGAAAGGCCTCATATTCCATTACATTAAATGGCAGCAGGGCCCATGTCAACCTAGCCCACTACTGTACTCCTAGTGCCCAGGATGATGCTTGATACATAATAGGACCCATTCATTTAATGGAATAGTATACTATACGTAGTAGGCAGTGGGAATGCCCGAGCTTTTTTAAAAATGAAGGGAAATGATGTAAATCATGTTTAAGAAAGATATATGGGGGGTCCAGTGCTGTGGCGTAGTGGGTAAAGCCACATGCAGTGCCAGCATCCCATATGGGCTCTGGTTTGAGTCCTGGCTGCTCCACTTCCTGTCCAGCTCTCTGCTATGGCCTAGGAGGGCAATAAAAGATGGCCCAGGCCCTGGGCCCCTGGACCCATGTGGGAGACCTGGAAGAAGCTCCTGGCTCCTGGCTTCGAATCAGCGCAGCTCCAGCCATTGCGGCCAATTGGGGAATGAACCAGCAGATGGAAGACCTCTGTCTCTCTCTCTCTCTTTACCTCTCCTTCTCTGTGTGTAACTCTGACTTTCAAGTAAAATAAATAAATCTTTAAAAAAAAAAAAAGAAAGAAAAATATATGGGGGGCCGGCACTGTGCGGTAAAACTGCAGCCTGCAGTGCTGGCATCCCATATGGGCACTGGTTCAAGACCTGGCTGCTCCACTTCCGATCCAGCTCTCTGTTATGGCCTGGAAAAGCAGAAGATGGCCCAAGTCCTTGGGCCCCTGCACCCACATGGGAAGATCCGGAGGAAGCTCCTGGCTCCTGGCTTCAGATCAGCACAGCTCTGGCCATTGCGGCCACTTGGGGAGTGAATCAGAGGATGAAAGACCTCTCTCTCTCTCTCTTTGCCTCTCCTTCTCTCTCTGTGTAACTCTGACTTTATTTTTTTTTATTTTTATTTTTTTGACAGAGTAGACAGTGAGAGAGAGAGAGAGAAATGTCTTCCTTTGCCGTTGGTTCACCCTCCATTCTCTCTCTCTCTCTGCCTCTGCCTTTCAAATAAATAAATAAATAAATATTTTTTAAAAAAATTCTATACAGCAATAATAATGAACAATGAATTACAAAATACAAATAAAACTAAATATATAGTATTGAGAGAAGTAAGTCAGATACACAAGGGCACACACTGTATAATTCCATTTATATCAAGTTCAAAGTAGGCAAACTCACCAATGCTGGTTCAAGTTAGGACAGTAATTACACTGCAACTGGGTAGGAAAGGGGCATGAGAGAAACCTTAAGGGTGCTAGTAATGTTTTCTTTCTTCATCTGAATTCTGGTTGAACAGGTTTTGTAGCATGTGAAAATTTGCCATGCAGTGTACTTAAGATTTGTGCACCTTTCTGCAAGTATGTTATACTTCAACAAAAAGTCCAAAAGAATTTTCTGGCTCCAACTGCAAGACTGAAATAAACTCAGGACCACTCTCAGAAACTAGGAGACCAGGAAAGATTGAGACATGGTCTTAATAAGATAAAAAGACAGGGTTTTTGTTGTTGTTGTTTTCAAAGATTTACTTACTTATTTGAAAGTCAGAGCTGCAGAGAGAGAAGGAAAGACCCAAAGAGACAGATCTTCCATCTGCTGGTTCACACCCCAGATGACCACAAAAGGCCAGGCAGGAGCCAGGAGCTTCATCCAGGTCTCCTACGTGAGTGGCAGGGGCTCAAGCACCTTGGCCATCTTCTGCTGCTTTCCCAGGCAATTAGCATGGAGCTGGATTGGAAATGGAGCAGCCAGGACACAAATCAGCACCCATAAGGGATGCAAGCATTATAGGCAGAAGCTTTACCTGTTACACTACGATGCTGGCCCCAAAAGGACAAGTTTAATAAAATGAGTGATTGGGGAAAAAGTCATAGTTAGAGAATGGAATTTCAAAATTAAAAATCTCAGAGACAGCAAACTTTCAAAGGTCTGCTTTCCCAGACCACATCAGGGAGCTGGATCGGAAGTGGAGCAGCTGGGTGTTGAACCAGTGGCCATGTGGGATGCCAGCGCTTCAGGCCAGGGCATTAATCCACTGCGCCACAAGGCCAGCCCCTGTGACTCTGACTTCTAAATAAATAAGCCTTAAAAAAAAAGTTTTCCTTTTTTACTTCCTCTCCTTGTTATAATCTTTGTAACTTTCTACAGCTTAAATTATTTTTTCTTTCACTTACCTATCTACCTAGCCTTCTGGAGGTGAGAGGCTGGCCACCTCCAGTCTCGTATCTCTCTCAAAGACAGAGAAGAATACACAGCTCTTTATAACCCCAACATCTAACACCATGACCCAAATACACTAGGCACCCACATTCCCATTGAGGATGATAAAAGTACTATCTTCTCAGTAAGCCACTAATGACTCACATACTGTCACTCATAGATAAGAAAGTTTTACAAGGTCAGCTTTCCTTCATAAACTATAGTCCCATTATAACAGCATTATTTTCCTTGCCAAAATTATATAAAATATACTAATATGTAAAATATAAAAATTATTTTAAATGTAGAATGATAATTAAAATAAGGATGATTAAAATCACATTAACAAAGTTGAGTAAAATTAATCTCATTTCTAAATGGAAGATTTCCTCTATATCAAATACAGAATGAAATGTAATTGTAATAAATAAAGGATATTTCACTGTAACAGGATATTCTTTCATGGACAAAGTCTTCTTTGTCAAATCTAAAAATGCTTAAGACTTAACACACATCATACAGAACATTTTTGAAGCCAAAGCACATTAAAAGTAACAGCAACATCAAACAGACATAAAAAATAGACATCAAAGCCATACAAAAAAAAATTTTAAATATGACTCACAGAGACAGGAGTTTGCATCCCACAAAGTTTTGCCTACAACCCTTAAAGTATAGATAAAATAGTAACAAAGACAGAGCCCAACAGCTTTGGTATCAGTGGGCATTTCTGTTGAGGAACCTTTGCATCCTTATCTTTTAGAAGACAAAACTATAGATCTGAAATACATTTACAAGTAAGAGAAATTTTCCTCAAATTAGAAGCTGAAATCTCCAAGGGAAGGTCTTACACAAGTTTTTAAGGACCAAGAAGATTGAGTTTAAGAGATGCCTATAGATGCATAAAAAAGGTGTACATAAAAATACACCTTCCACCAACCATGTACTCCCACAAAATTCCTTGATAAAGCCTTCTGACTTCCAATTCAAAGAAGGGTAACACGATTTCAAACTTTAGAAAACTTTTAGCAGAGATGGTATTCCTGAGATAAACTACTTTGTTTTCTTCATGTAGATTAATGAAGCTTATTGCTATATAATGTGGCAAGATGCTATTTAGCATCACAGGATGAGCTTTTTGAATATCATTGGTAGATATGATAATTATCAGCACATAACAGAACTCAAAAGTGACATGAATTCAGTATTCCAATGCACTTAATAAAATTTATTTCTGAAGTCTAACAAGTATTGGGCATTGTGCTGGGCATACAGGGTCTAAAGTCTGAAGCTCTAAAGATGAACAAGGCATGCTTTCTGCCCTTGAGAAGCTCACAGTCTAGACTGGCGCTGTCCAACAGAACTTCTTGCAAAGACGGGAATATTCTATATCTGTGCCGTCCACTATAGTTAACCACTAGCCACAAGTGGCCATTGAGGCCTTGACATGTGCCGTGTGCAGCTGGGGAATTGAGTTTTTATTGAATTGTAATTCATTTTTACTTTTTAAATTTTTTTAAGATTTTATTTATTTTAGAGGTAGAGTTATAGACAGTGAGAGGGAGAGAGAGAGAAAGGTCTTCCTTCTGTTGGTTCACTCCCCAAATGGCTGCAACGGTCAGAGCTGCGCTGATCCAAAGCCAGGAGCCAGGAGCTTCCTCCAGGTCTCCCACATGGGTGCAGGGGCCCAAGGACTTGGGCCATCTTCCACTGCTTTCCCAGGCCATAGCAGAGAGCTGGACTGGAAAAGGAGCAGCCGGGACTAGAACCGGTGCCCATATGGGATGCTGGCACCACAGGCAGAGGACAGGCAGAGGGTTAACCTGCTGTGTCACAGCACAGGCCCCTGAATTGTAATTCATTTAAACTTTAAACTGACACTAGTAGCTACCATAATGGATAGAGCACACATAGACACACTATAGCCCAAAAAACATTAAAATCAGTGCCACAAAATGATAGTCTTCATTAACATGTACTTACCTCATTTAGTATGCTTTCTAGTGTTGGTGGTGTATCAACTTGAGGAATATCAAACTCCTTGTCATCAATCTAAATAAAGAAAGGAAATTAATGGTCACATAATGATGCCTTCCTCCTTATAACTGTCTTAATTAATTATAACCGTTATTAATTAAAAGACAAATTTAGCAGCAAACTTATCATACAGTCAATTCAATAATACTCAGTAATAAAATTTACATCAAAAGACTACAGATTTATTTCTTTCCTAACCATACACTTAGTGACTATTAAGGATGTGTGTGCACTGACTACATCATACTGAAAATTCTTTCTAGAAAGCTTGCATTTAAGTACTTTTGCATCTGCTTTCTTAAATAAGACAAAATAGCATGTCTTCTGACAAACCTTAATTTTCTAAGTGTGCACATAAGTCATAAATGATATACAAATGATACCCATTGCAATTCTTAGTTATTTCATAACTTATGGTAAAAGATGATTAGGTGAAGCCACTTGTCATTAAATATTCTCATAATCACAGAAAGCCATTAATATAACATTAAATCAATAGGGGAAAATTGCTGTAGAAGAATTCTAAACACACTGCCAGCTCTACGACCTTGAGAAGTAATTGAATATAACTGCACGCCAATGTCTTCATCTATAAAATGGATTATCACAGTGTTGTGAGAGCTGTGAAGCTCAAATGATAGCATGAGCTAAAGTGTTTCATAAACTGCAATGGACTATACAAATGAAGAATAATAATAGACTCCCATTAACCCATGCAAAAGTGGCATATTTAGTCTCTGGGTTATAAACCACATTCTAACCAATCTACTGGTTAACCTCATCATTTGACAAAAATTGAAATTTTTACCAAGTCATTTTTGAATTCCAGTTCCTTGTCCAGATCTATATAAGAGAATTTTGAAAGTGAAGCTTCTAGATTGAAAGTCTTATTCAGTTCTTCTTCAGTAGTCTTGGCACAGAGGGTCTGTTCCACACTTTCATGGTCTGGTTCATTTTCCATATTTATTTGTATTGACTTTGTTCAGTTAACCCAAGCAAGTGTTGGTTTTGTTTTGGGCTTTAGATCACGAGGACCTGGGTGACAATCTCTTTTCAAAAAAAGGAAAAAAAAAAAAGTATCACTTAGATTTCCTCCTTGTCAAGTGGCCATTCCAAAGATTTACTTGATGAGACTTCACTCAGTTCTCTGATTACAGGAAAACAGAAATCAACATTTGGGTACACATGTCTGCATGAAGCACAGAGGAAGAACACCTCAGACTTGAGATGTCTGGGAAGTGGCCCACCAAAGTCATGAAACTTAGGCTCTTCCAAGAGCCCTGATACCAACTACATTCATGTACCCAGCAGCATGAGGGTAAATTGGTGCCAAAAGCTGCAATTAATTCCTTCTTTATATCCCCAAATATCAGGGTTACTCTCCAGTTCCCTGGAGGTGGGTGCATGGACCAGTTTTGCTGCTGGAGTCACACAGAAAGAAATATGTCTCAAGAACTCAGCGCAGACACTGAGGATAGATATCGAGTCATTTAACACAACACAAGCACATCTAAGGGTTGAAATATACTAAGGGAAACAACAATGACTCCAGGATAAAATAATCCCACAGCCTATCAAGATCTGTAGGAAAAAAAATCCAGTCATGGAAAAAAAGTATGGATTTTTTTTAGATTTACTTATTTATTTGAAAGGCAGAGTTACAGAGAGACAGACAGACAGACAGACAGACATATCCATCCACTTGTTCACTCCCCAAATGGCTGCAAAGACCAGGGCTGGACCAGGCTGAAGCCAGAAGCCCAGTGCTTCTTTCATGTTTCCCATGTGGGTGCAGGGGCCCAAGGACTTGGGCCATCTTCTGCTACTTTTCCAGGAGCATAAGCAGAGAGCTAGATAAGAAGTGTAGCAGCCAGGATCCAAACTGGTGTCTACATGAGATATGCCACAGCACCAGCACCAAACATGAACATTTTCAGAGGAAAATTAAGTACTAAGGAAAACTAGAAATGTACACAATTTTTCTCTGTATTTCACTGCTCTAAACAATAGAACACTATGTTTATACCAAAAAATACAGGTAATCTGGTTTGCTTGCAAAGCTGTCACTTCTAATGTATACTAAAATATATTAAAAGAATTTTAAGTTTAATAATTAAATTTGCTTTTAAATGTTTTTAGATTGTGCTTCAATTAGGTTTCCCTGTTTAGAATAAAGAAACAATGTCACAGGAATCATGACTATAAGAGTGAATTTTCTTTTCTAAACTAGGTCATTTTGTTTTCCCCTGTATAGTAACTTTTCCCTAACTATGGTTTCACTTTCTTCAACTTGTTACCTACGGGCAACCACAGTCTGAAAATATTAAATGGAAGTTCCAGAAATAAAGAATTCATAAGTTTTAAATTAAGCGCTGTTCTGAGCAGCATGACGAAATCTTGCACTGTCTTGCTCTGAGCCACTTGGAACATGAATCATTCCTTTTTGGAGCATAACTGTACTGTACACACTGTCTGCCATCAGTCACTTAGTGGCCATCTCAGTTGTCAGATGGATGGTCGAGTTCCTGTGTTCAAGAAACCCTAATTTTACTTAATTAATGTTCCCAAAGCGATGGTGCTATCAATTTGGATATGCCAGACAGAAGCCATAAAATAATTCCTTTAAATGAAAAGGGTGAAAGTTCTTGACTGAATAAGAAAAAACTTCATATGCTGAGGTTGTGAAGATCTACACTAAGAATGAATCATCCATCCATGAAACTGTGAAGGAAGAAAAAGGTACCTGTAGCCCGAGTACATGATGAGTACTTAATCATTCAACTCATTTCATCTCATCACACAGACATTATATTACGTCACATCATCAGGGTGAGTGCATTACAGTATGATATTTTGAGAGATCATATTCATGTAACCTTTTTTAAAAAGTGGGGATGGCTTTCTTCAAGTGGAGATCATGTAATTTCTTTTTTTTTTTTTTAACTCACGAGGCAGATACACAGAGACAGATACAGGAAGGAAGAAGAAAAATGGATAGAGAGAGCTCCTATCCTCTGGTTCACTCTTTATTTTTTTTTAAGGTTTATTTATATATTTGAAAGGCAGAGCCACAGAGAGGCAGAGGCAGAGAGAGAGAGGTCTTCCATCCACTGGTTCACTCCCCAAAATGGCTGCAACAGCCAGAGCTGAGCCTATCTGAAGCCAGGAGCCAGGAGCCTCCTCTGGGTCTCCCATGTGGTGCAGGGGCCCAAGGACTTGGGCCGTCTTCTGCTTTCCCAGGCCACAGCAGAGAGCTGGATCGGAAGCGGAGCATCTGGGTCTCAAACCAGTGCCCACATGGGATACTGGCACTGTAGGTGGCAGCCTCACTCGCTAGGCCACAGCACCAGCCCTATGGTTCACTCTTCAAATGCCCATGATGGCCAGTGCTGGATTGCAACTCAAAGCCAGGAACTCAATCCAGCTCTGATATGTAGGTGGCAGAAACCTGATTACTGAGCTATCATCTGCTGCCTCCCAGGGTCTGCATTAGCAGGAAGCTGGAATTGGGAGGCAAAGCTGGGAACGGAATACAGGCACTTAGGTATGGAATGCAGGCATCTTACTGTGCCTTAACTGCTGGGCCAGACTCCCACTCTCGCATAACTCTTATTAAAGAACATGTGATAACCGTTCTATGTAATTTTGCTAACCTCTTACTGGGCTTAATTTATAACCTAAATTTTATCTTAAGTATGTATATATATAAAAAAAAACACAGCTGCCCTCCGTACCCATACATGTTGCATCCATGGAGTCAGTTGTGAATTGAAAATGTATTTTTATTTTTATTTTATTTATTTTTTTTGACAGGCAGAGTGGACAGTGAAAGAGAGAGACAGAGAGAAAGCTCTTCCTTTGCCGTTGGTTCACCCTCCAATGGCCACCGTGGCCGGCACGCTGCGGACGGCGCACCACGCTGATTCGATGGCAGGAGCCAGGTGCTTCTCCTGGTCTCCCATGGGGTACAGGGCCCAAGCACCTGGGCCATCCTCCACTGCACTCCCTGGCCACAGCAGAGAGCTGGCCTGGAAGAGGGGCAACTGGGACAGAATCCAGTGCCCCGACTGGGACTAGAACCCGGTATGCCGGCGCCGCAAGGCGGAGGATTAGCCTAGTGAGCCGCGGCACCGGCCGAAAATGTATTTTTAAAAATTGTACCTGAACTAAACATGTACAGTTTTTTGTCTAGTAATTACTCCCTAGGCAATACAGTATAATAACTATTTATGTAGCATTACATTGTATTAGGCATTAAAAGTAACCTAGAGATGATTCAAAGTACACAGTAGGATGTTCATAGGCTAAATACAACAACTATGCCCTTTTATATAAAGGTATTGAACACTCATGCATTCTGGGGAGAGGTGGGTTCCTGGGACCAATCCCCATGGATTCTGAGGGAACAGCGTATTGTTTAGGGTCCAGTACTATCTGCAGTTGCAGGAGCCCACATGAGGTCTTGGGATGCATGCCCTGTGGACGAGCCAAAAAACCTTAAGGCTCAGCCTTTCTGAACCCCACACTGCTCTCAGGGGGAACACACACCACTACCAACAACGGCTCTCACCCCCATGGTAAACATCTGCTAGTTAATTCCTCAGTGAAGTGAACGAATGGCCACTATGTGTAAGACATGCGGACTCACAAAAACTGATTTTTTTAAGAGCTAAAACCAAATTTTCTAGTTAGTACATGTGGTATATTACCAAATATAGACGAATTTCTTTCACATGCTACAGAAAATAGATTCTAAGGCTCTGTTCTATAAAACATATGCTATCAAATACATTCCTAGAAGACACGCTGAGAGTACTCTGTATCTGGCAACATTCAGAAGCATCTTTCCAACATCAGGTACTAAAAGTACTGCTCCCTTTGCAGAGCTATTAACATTTATATGCCTTTCTCCACAGAAGATTGAACTGTCTCATGACAGATTAAAGTTTTTCGCTGTTATGTACACCACTAAGCAGAACTGGTTACAATCATCCAACAACTACTTATAAGAGCACATTTTGTGGTGGGGTGAGGTGGGTAAAGTCGTTGCTCATGATGCCTTATCTGAATGCTGGTTAGAGTACTGGACACTCCACTTCTGATCCAGCTCCCCACTGATGCCCCTGGGAAAGCAGAGAATAGTGGCCCAAGTGCTTGGGCCCCTGCTACCCATGTGGGAGACTGATGAAGTTCTTGGCTTCTGGCTTTGGCCTGGCACAGTCCTGGCTGTTGCAGGCATTTGGGAGTACAACAGCAGATAGAAGATCTCCCTTTCTCTCTGTGGCTCTGCCTTTCAAACAGATGGAAATAAACAAACAATTTTTTAAAATTGGGGGGTGAACCAATGGAAAAAAGGAAGACCTTTCTCTCTGTCTCTCTCTCTCTCACTGTCCACTCTGCCTGTCAAAAAAAGTATTTATAAACATGTACCATCTAACTCACATTCAGTGATTCCTAAAGACAGTTATTGTTAGTGTTACACTTTATTTTAAAATAATGAAAAAGACAGGGCCAGTGCTGTGGTGTATGCTAAGCCTCTACCTGTAGCGCCAGCACCCCATATGGGCACTGGTTCTTGTCCCAGCTGCTCCACTTCCAATCCAGCTCTCTGCTATGCCCTGGGAAAGCAGAAGATGGCCCATGTGCGTGGGCCCCTGCACCCATGTGGGAGACCTGGAAGAAGCTCCTGGCTCCTGGCTTCAGACAGACCCAGCTCCAGCCGTTGTGGCCATTTGAGGAATGAACCAGTGGATAGAAGACCTTTCTCTCTGTCTCTCCCTCTCTCTAACTCTATCTCTCAAGTAAATAAATAAAATCTTAAAAAAAAAAAAAAAATGGAAAAGACCATGCACAAAAAAGGAGAACTTTTTATGTAAATTACTTAATCATTTGAAATGTTTCATACTTCATGTTAGTCTTTCCAAAAGAACTCGAGAATGTAAACAACTTTTTTCTAGCTCTTTTTGTCTTCTATCTAGCATTACTGAGATGGGCCAAGGACCTGAATAGAAATTTTTCAAAAGAAGAAATCCAAACGGCCAACAGAC